TAGATACGAAAGTAAAAGCACACGTACATTCTACTCCTAAACCTTATCGACTCCTATAGATGCATATTTTAGCTAAATGTTATATCGTCGCCTGGATAAAAGATTGTCACAAGTTACTTTCGGTAACTCACGGCTGAAGTTTGGAATGCATTTTCTCAGAAACACGACTACAGATCTTCTCCAAAGTGTCGGAGAATGCTGGTACTAGTTCACGAAATTCTTAAATTATCTTATTTTTTTAGTTTAGTGTCAACCATTTATGAGTTTAATAAAATTTTGTAGTATACATTTGTCAAAAAATTTGCAGTCAGTTTTAATGATATACGCCAAAATGTGATAACATTTTTTTATAAATTAACGATGCTTTTTACTAATCAGCCTAATCGGGAGTTTCGCCCGAACAAAATTTCGCCAACAATTTTTTCATCCACCTGTAGTGAATACACGCAAACGAAAAGTGCAAAACGTGAGCCGGTTCTAGAAAATGAAACTCATGATAAGGCTGAATATGTCGGAAACTAAAGAAGAATAGGTAACTCTAGTTGAAAGATCTTGATTAGTTTAATACGACAGCAATACTAACGCAATTTGTACCAAATAGCCGAAAACATTTTAGTCAATTACTCGGAAACTAAAGAGGATATCCAAAAACCAGTTAACAAAAAATCGAAATATTTGACTTTAAAATATATAACTGCATCTATAACTACAAGTTGTCAAACTGACGCTTGCGGCAATTTTCCATCCAAGCGGCGATATTTGAATTTTACTTTATTTTACTAAATTTTCGGGAAAAAAGTTAAAAAACATATTCATCTGCTGAAAAGATATTTTCGAACATTCACAATTTATTTAAAGTAAATCTATCAGCCCTATCTCCAATGAATAAATCTCTCCTGTGCTTAAATAATTTTCACCACATTGAATAAGCCCACACAAATATTGCCACTGATATAATTTATATTTAGCGACCAAAATGACAGCTGGACAGCAATAAATTTTATCCTATGGAGACGGCCAGGAAGTTTGTTTACTGGATATACTGAGTTGTGTAGGGCTCAGTATATCCAGTAAAAAAACTGTGGTGAAGTCCTTTATGGGGATAAAGTTTCCAGAGGTGAAATTTTAGGTAGCACACAATTTCTTACACGCATGGTTGCTTTTCAGCGCTCAAAAAGAAACTTAAGAGATACTTGAAAAAAAGTTCATATAGTACATTAATTTTTGACAGAAATACCATATAATGTATGTACTCTGGTTAGTAATATCAAAAAATGTATTAGAACCACCGTTTAATGTTATATTTAATAAAAAATAATATTACTGCCCCGAACGCTCTGCGCCTTGCCACTGAATAATAGGTTTACTTAAAATTGCATCCCTGGTCCTTGTTCTTTCTGTATCGCATCGTGGTGAATTCACATTTCTCAGAAATTTGAGAACAGAGCAAAACGAAGCGAGTATTTTATTTGCTAATTTTTGCGATTTCTATTGTTTAATGTAAATTTATGTCTTATTAGGATATGTTGAGCCAACAAAGAAGGCGCAGTTGGAAAGTGGAGTAATTAGTAATGAAGTAGCAGGCATATTTGGAAAATTATGCCGATAAGCAGGATGGAATTTGGGAAAGTAATTGCCTGGTTGCAGCATATATATGTATTAAAGAGTATTTAATTAAATTGTTGGAACAAATGCAGTTGGGCTCCAAATCTCAAAAAAAAAAAAAAAATATTGGAATCGATAGAGATGATTGAGCTGAGTATAACGGTATACTTCTTTTTTGGGCAAACAATAACAACAAAAATTATCAAAGGTTAAAGTTCAAAATAAGCAATTTTTGATATCAAGATTTCTTAAAAACGGATGGATGGCTCTTCAAAAATTTGATCCCATTTAATACGAAATTTGATTCCCTTTAATTTGGTATACGTACTTTATATATATGTTGTATAGTTCTTACAAAAATTTAATTAATGTAAAATAATTAGCCGCACTTAGGGATTATAACCCTCACAACGTAGAATTATCTTTCTGTGTTGTGAAGAAAAGGCACTGAACACCTTTTGCAGTGAACACTGCCTGCGGCCGCACTTAGGGTTTGTAAGCTTTTTTTATAATTATTTTACATTAATTCAATTTTTGTAAGAATTATACAACATATATATAAAGTACGTATAGTAAATTAAAGGGAATCAAATTTGCTATTAAATGAGATCAAAATTTTCATCCATTCCTTCGTTTTTGAGAAATCTCGATTTCAAAAATTGCTTATTTTGAACTTTAACCTTTGATAATTCTTGTTGTTTGCCCGAAAAAAGAAGTATACCGTTATACTCAGCTCAATCATCTCTATCGATTCCAATATTTTTTTTTTTTTAATTTGAGATTTGGAGCCCAACTGCATTTATGCCAAATTGTTTATAAAAGTGTTATAAATCGAGTGGCTCATTTACGATGTGCTCAAAACATTTGGCGAACTTTTTTTCGCCTTTTCAACGTGCTAAGTAACAAGTTAAGATGACTGCCATCACGGCCGGTAAGAAACCGCAAGCGAAGGGCAGACAACCTTTCAGGAAGCTGCCTCCTGTCCCCGAGTCGAAGCTGCAGTTCAGCAAGAGCAGGTCAGCAAATTGTTACCCTGATCAAACGTAAACTAAAGCGCTCTGCTGTGATTGCACTCTGTAAACGTGAAAACTTGGTGCATGCTGAGAAATATCAAACAAGAAAACTCCGTGATGGACGCCGTGAGATGGAGTTGGCCTGAAAATTCCAAATTGGCTTTTGTGATCCGTATCCGCGGTATCAACAAAGTTGCACAAAAAGTGCGTAAAGTTTTACAGTTCCGTCTTCGCCACATTAAAACGGTGTGTTCATCAAATTGAGCAAGGCAACCATTAATATTAATATAGGTATGCCGAACCCTATATGGAGTTATCCAAATCTTAAATCAGTTCGTGAATTGATGTACAAACGTGGAATTGTTAAGCACAACCATCAACGTGTCCCAATCTCTGCTTTGTGATCGAACGCAAATTTCGCGAAGCGCACGAAATTCAGTGCGTTGATTATTTGGCGCACGAAATATTCACTGTTGGAACCCACTTCAAGAAAGCCTCCAACTTCCTGTTGCTATTCAAGCTCAACACATCAACCCGAGGCTGGTGCAAGAAGGCTAATCACTACGTTGAGGTTGGTGATTTCGGTAGCCGTGAGGATAAGATCAACAAATTGCTGCACAAGATGGCTTAAAGAAATTTTTGTTTTGTATTTAAAGCGACAATATAATTTGGCACATCTTCAAAAGAGGCCCAACCAAAAAAAAAAGAAAATTAAAGAATTCCTGAAGTTACCTTTACACGGGTCGATTTCTGTCGATTGGAAAATTGACTAAGATATCCACTAGCCAAAACGCTTACATTTTACGGTTGAATTGCAATTTACACGGGTAGATTTTGGTTAAACGACAAAAATCTACCGTGTAAAGGCAGCTTAAATAACGTTCAAATTAATCATCCCCTTTGAGATGGAAAATACCAATAACCATTTCATAATTTCGAAAATTATTCCATTTATATTTGTTCTTGCATTTTCCACACCACTTGTGAGGTATGTTTTTAGGCGCGTTACCGATTTTTTTTTTAAGGTGCTCGGTTCCCCAGGAGGCCTATTTTCACCTCTACAAGTTAACTTAAAAATAATTAAAACTAAAGCAGGAAATATATAAAGAAAATTAAAAATTGTCTTACATTTAGTAAACTTAAAAAATTGCACATTAAATTCATTTTTCATTATAAAATAAAATTAAATATCACAATTCAGTTGAAGTGTATACATATGTACATATTTACAAAATGTGGTCTGTTTGCACCCACAGTAAGATCCCATGAAACCTAGCCTAAATTCAGAACTGAAAAAAAAACGAGCAAATATAAAAGCATACCTCACAAGTGGTGTGGAAAATGCAAGAACAAATATAAATGGAATAATTTTCGAAATTATGAAATGGTTATTGGTATTTTCCATCTCAAAGGGGATGATTAATTTGAACGTTATTTAAGCTGCCTTTACACGGTAGATTTTTGTCGTTTAACCAAAATCTACCCGTGTAAATTGCAATTCAACCGTAAAATGTAAGCGTTTTGGCTAGTGGATATCTTAGTCAATTTTCCAATCGACAGAAATCGACCCGTGTAAAGGCAACTTCAGGAATTCTTTAATTTTCTTTTTTTTTTTTGGTTGGGCCTCTTTTGAAGATGTGCCAAATTATATTGTCGCTTTAAATACAAAACAAAAATTTCTTTAAGCCATCTTGTGCAGCAATTTGTTGATCTTATCCTCACGGCTACCGAAATCACCAACCTCAACGTAGTGATTAGCCTTCTTGCACCAGCCTCGGGTTGATGTGTTGAGCTTGAATAGCAACAGGAAGTTAGAGGCTTTCTTGAAGTGGGTTCCAACAGTGAATATTTCGTGCGCCAAATAATCAGCGCTTCGCGAAATTTGCGTTCGATCACAAAGCAGAGATTGGGACACGTTGATGGTTGTGCTTAACAATTCCACGTTTGTACATCAATTCACGAACTGATTTAAGATTTGGATAACTCCATATAGGGTTCGGCATACGTAGAATATTAATGGTTGCCTTGCTCAATTTGATGAACACACCGTTTTAATGTGGCGAAGACGGAACTGTAAAACTTTACGCACTTTTTGTGCAACTTTGTTGATACCGCGGATACGGATCACAAAAGCCATTTGGATTTTTCAGGCCAACTCCATCTCACGGCGTCCATTACGGAGTTTACTTGTTTGATATTTCCTGACCTGCAGCTTGGACTCGGGGACAGGAGGCAGCTTCCTGGAAGGTTGTCTGCCCTTTGCTTGCGGTTTCTTACCGGCCGTGATCTTAACTTGTTACTTAGCACGTTGAAAAGGCGAAAAAAAGTTCGCCAAATGTTTGGCGCACATCGTAAATGAGCCACTCGATTTATAACATTTCTATAAACAATTTAATTAAAGACTTTTTAATGCATAGATATGCTGCAACCAGGCAATTACTTTCCCAAATTCCATCGTGCTTATCGGCATAATTTTCCAAATATGCCTGCTACTTCATTACTAATTACTAAATTTTCCAACTGCGCCTTTGTTGGCTCAACATATCCTAAAAAGACACAAATATACATCAAACAATAGAAATCGCAAAAATTAGCAAATAAAATACTCGCTTCGTTTTGCTCTGTTGTCAAATGTCTGAGAAATGTGAATTCACCCCGATGCGATACAGAAAGAACAAGGACCAGGGATGCAATTTTAAGTAAATCTATTATTCAGTAGCAAGGCGCAGAGCGTTCGGGGCAGTAATATTATTTTTTATTAAATATAACATTAAACGGCGGTTCTAATACATTTTTTGATATTACTAACGAGAGTACATACATTATATGGTATTTCTGTCAAAAATTAATGTACTATATGAACTTTTTTTCAATGATTTCTTAAGTTTCTTTCATGAGCGCTGAAATGCAACCATGCGTGTAAGAAAATGTGTGCTACCTAAAATTTCACTTCAGGAAACTTTATCCCCATAAAGGACTTCACCACAGCTTTTTTAAGGGATATACTGAGCCCTACACAACTTAGTATAACCAGTAAACAAACTTACTGGCCGTCTCGATAGGATAAAATTTATTGCTGTCCAGCTGTCATTTTGGTCGCTAGATATAAATTATATCAGTGGCAATATTTGTGTGGGCTTTTTATATCTTGATATAAGCATCTGTGAGATAGCTTCTAAAACGTATTTTTGCCGGATTTAATCACTTAAAAAGCTTAGAAAATAGGCTATTTTACATCCAATTACATAATAACAAATATTTTAACAGAAAACAGTTCAATATTTGCTTTTATATTAAAATATCTATAATGTTGCCGCCACGAAGTTTTCATGCAAATGAACATGTAGCTGTCAAACTACCAAATTGCCGGCAATAGATGGCAAGATATAAGCTAAGACATATGTATCTAGATATAAACCTTATCTTGTGGAGACGGGTAGTTAGCTGTTTTATTCCACCAAATTTGGTCCCCATAAAGCACTAGTGTTGCCAGCAACACTTTTTCGGCAATTAGGGTGATGTGCAGCTATTTAATGTGGTGAAAATTATTTAAGCACTGGAGAGATTTATTCACATGAAATTGGAGATAGGGCTGATAGATTTACTTTAAATAAATTGTGAATGTTCGAAAATATCTCTTCACCAGATGAATATGTTTTTTAACTTTTTTCCCGAAAATTTACATACAGGCTCGAAATAATGCGAGTAAAATTCAGATATCTTCGCGTGGATGGAAAATTGCCGGAAGCGTCAGTTTGACAATTTGTAGTTATAGATGCAGTTATATATTTTAAAGTAAGATATTTCGATTTTTTGTTAACTGGTTTTTGGATATCTTCTTTAGTTTCCGAGTAATTGACTAAAATGTTTTCGGCTATTTGGTACAAATTGCGTTAGTATTGCTGTCGTACTAAACTAATCAAGATCTTTCAAATAGAGTTACCTGTTCTTCTTTAATTTCCGACATATTCAGCCTTATCATGAGTTTCATTTTCTAGTACCGGCTAACTTTTTCACTTTTCGTTTACGTGTATTCACTGCAGGTGGATGAAAAAATTGTTGGCGAAATTTTGTTCGGGCGAAACTCACGATTAGACTGATTAGTAAAATTCATCGTTAATTTATAAAAAATTGTTATCACATTTTGGCGTATATCATTAAAACTGACTGCAAATTTTTTGACAAATGTCGTATACTACAAAATTTTATTAAACTCATAAATGGTTGACACTAAACTAAAAAAATTAGATAATTTAAGAATTTCGTAAACTAGTACATAGCATTCTCCGACACTTTGGAGAAGATCTGTAGTCGTGTTTCTGAGAAAATGCATTCCAAACTTTAATCGTGAGTTACCGAAAGTAACTTTTGTCAATATTTTATCCAGGCGACGATATAACATTTAGCTAAAATATGCATCTGTAGGAGTCGATAAGGTTTAGGAGTAGAATGTACGTGTGCTTTTACTTTCGTATCTAGCTTTATGTCATAGTTTAAGTAACTTGTTTGTAACTAAAGTAATATTAGTTGGCAACCCTAGATTTATTTATTTATTTATTTATTTATTTAATCTAGAAATAAACATTTCGTACAGAACTATTTGGTAAAAATAAAATATAAACTAATAACTAATTTAGCATACTATTATAAAAGTAGTTTGAAGTTAGATTTGGAAGAAGAGAAATCGATAGCAGAAGAGTTTAAGAGCGAATTAAACTCGTTTAGAGCTCTGCGAATAGGAGCGTTATTCGTATAATTATTCCTGACAAAATCCAGAGAAAAAATGTCATGATTCCTAAGGCTTCTTGGTGGGATATTAAATGTAATCCGTTCGATGTAAGAACGGCGAGTCAATACACCCCGTATAATGTCAAAAACGAAAGTAAGAGAAAGAATAATCCTTCTATTATGCAGTGATTTAAGGTTTATAAGCATGCATTTAGCAGTGTAAGATGGGAAAGGATCAACGAAATGCAGAGAGCGGCGTGCATAACGAATAAAAGATTTTTGGATACGTTCAATTCTCTTGATATGACATTCATAATATTGTAGCGAATACTGCGGCAACACAAAGCGAACAACGAGAAATAGGAATGACGTAGAATGTTCCACAAAGAGAAACGTCAAGTTGGATGAACACTGCGAACAGCGAGAGAAAGAGAATGAGCGATAAACTTCAGAATGTTCTAGAGTTGCCATAAGTGCCAGCGCAGGTATATAAGGGCGCCGCCACAGCGAGTTGAGTTAGTTACAAGTCAGCAAGCTACAAGTAAAGTGAGCAGCGAAGTGAGTTGCGAATAAGCAAGCTATAAGTTTAATTGTGTTAACAAGTTCAGTAAAGCGTTGTTATTGCTTTAACAAGTATTGTAAAGTGTTTTTACTGTATTAGCGAGTATTGTAAATTGTTTGTTGTACAATAAAGTTAATTGTACTACAATTTGGTCATCGATTGCATTTATTTAACAATCCAGCGATACGAACCGAGAGATTTGGGAAATCCGGACGAGGTTTCAAGGATAATCGTAACAATTGGTGTCAGAAGTGGGATTGTTAAATAAATCCCGAAGGATAAACTTTTGAAAATGGCAAAAATTCAGGACTTAAAGATTGAGGAACTCAAACAGGAGTTGGAGAAGCGAAGTTTAGCAACCTCCAGAAGAAAAGTGGAGTTACTATCACGGCTGCGAGAGGCTATGGAAGCAGAAGGCATCGACTTCCAGGGTAAACTTGACGATGCATCCGCAAAGGATGAACAGAAGGATGAGGCCGCTTGTTCGTCGAAGGATATGCAGCAGACATCCGGGAAGGTTGAAGAACAGCAAATCGTCATCACCAGCTATGGACATGAACACGTTATTGGCTGCCATGTCACAGATGTCATCACAGATTTCATCCCAGCTGCAAGTGCAGGTAACACGCATGTCATCGGAGGTGGAAGCACAGAAAACGTACATGTCATCGCAGCTAGATGAAAAGNGGAAGCACAGAAAACGTACATGTCATCGCAGCTAGATGAAAAGATTACTCAGCTACAGGAGAATTTATTTAAAGATAACGCGGAACTCAGAGAGAGACAGGATAAAATCGAGGAACGACAAGATAAAATCGAAGAGCTAATTCAGGAGAAAGTCGAAGCAAAGGTAGAAGAGTTGGAAGGTCGCCTCCGAGATTTGCAGATGAATCGTCCAGCTACTTCGACAAGTGCTCCCAAGGTAAAGACTCCATCCTTTGACGGCACGATTCCTTTTCAAGTCTTTTAGCTCCAGTTCGAGAAGACAGCTACAGCAAATCGTTGGAGCATGGAGGA